TGGCTCTGCAGAGGGATTTGCCGTGCCGGTGTCCCCCGGCAGCTCTACGCGTGTCCCTAGCACACGCAGACATCGTTATCCCGCAGCGCTGCCCTGCCCGCTCCTCGCCCTTTTTGCCATGCCCATTATAGCTTAGACAGATCTCAGCTCTCGTTCTGAGTCTACAGATTAATGCCTCTAAGTTTGGTAATTCGTACGGTGCTTGCTGAAATCTCCTGCTTTTCCCTTTCATTTCACCAGACCCTGCTAGTGCCAGATGGAGCAGCCAGTGTTTCACGAGTGGAGATGCCATGCTTGGTTGTGTAAGCAGGTACTTCCCTTGGCAGTTCCCAGTGCTAGTGATAAGAGGGAGCTTGCTTACATCTCAGTTTATTCTGGTCTGTAGATGCAATACTGGCATTTTGACATGGACACACAAGCCATTTCCAAGAATACTTGGAGAATGTGTAAGCAATATTTTTTACTTAAAAAAAAAATTCCTATTTTAGGGTTATGTGACACCAAACCAGAGCTGGACTTTCCAGTTCTGTAAATGCACATAATTCAGTGGAGGAGGTACAGGGGGTCTGGCTGCAGAGGGACAGAGGGTTCTTCTGCTGTCACTGGTGTAATGGGGAAGAAAGTAGGAACCACTGGGATCCTGGGCCCCTAAAAGTCCTGGTTTTAACTTCTTTGCCTTTCCACAGCAGAAAGTTCTTGGATTCCCTTGGACTCCAGTAAGCTTTCTAGGCTGGTTCCAGTAAGCTCTGCTGGTCTTTCTGGCCAGGAAGAAACTGGTGACATCCCTAACTACAGCACAGTGCCAGGGCCTTTCCCGTATTTCAGTCAAGCCAGTGCCTATGTCCCTACTTTTCTGTGGTCTCAAGGTAAAGTAGGAGTAGAAATGCCTGGCAGTGTGCACACCTCTCACTATCCCCTCCAAAATGAACATTTTGCCCATGTCCTGAGTCCCAGTGGCAGAAGAAAAGTGGAGGTAGTAGCAAAGCAAGTGAAAGTGGAGCGCAGAGACTTCCTCCTCTTGCAGTGTTATTTCACTTCCAAAAAAGAAAAAAAAAAGGCATTTAGAGCAGGACATCATGTGGGAAATCAGGCAGGAAGGGCCTGCCTTTGGTTCCCACAATGGGAGTTCAGAAGGGCTGGTCCTAAGTGGCTGTTTCTTCTTCCTCCTCCTCCTCCTCCTCTTCCTCTCCCTTTGAAGCATGGATTTTGTAGATAACAGCACAGATGCCGGCCAGCCAGGCTGTAATGGTGCCAAAAAGGAATATGCAGAAGCCAACGAGGCACAGAAAGATGTAGTCTGTCTTGTGTAGCTGGGTCAGGCAGGCGAAGTGAAGCTGTGCCTCCACTGCCTGCATCCTCAGGGCTCGCAGGCCTTCTGGGGTGTAGCAGGTGATGTTGTCAGCATCTGCAGAGGGAGAAGCAGAAGCAAGACTCTCCAGCCTGTGTCTAAAGCTTTAGTGAACAAGAGTCCTGCTGGGGAAATAGTGGAAGAGTTTTCTCGATGCCTGAAAAATGTATACACACTTCACACCCCTCTTGTCTCCGTGGCTTGGGCAAAATCTGAACAGCCAAACCCATGCTAGACCCATGCCAAACCACAATTCCTGGGTTGCCAGAATGATTTCTGTGGTGTTGCCTCCATAGAAGATATTGCCCACTGGATTATGCCACTGTGGCAAACTGCTGTCCCTGCACTGCTCATCTCTGCTGATTGAGCACTTTCATCTTCATGTGAGAGCACTTGTGTGTGTTGGTTTTCTCATTCTCAAACACATTCAGAAGTGAAGAAGCCTAAATTATGCTGGAATAATGAGGCTGCTGCTCATTTGACAACTAGGGTGGTTTGCAGTTAGGCACAGCCTTGCCTACTTTGTGAGAGAGGCAGAGGCAACTCATCAGTGATTCAGTTCCACTGAAATAACAACCATGCCCTGTCATATTGAATACCTGCAGTGATAAAACAGGTGCTGGCTGTTCCCTCTCAGGTTAGTGAAGGGTGAGTGTGGTGCCTTATAGAAGCTGGGTGTGCCCTCAGCCATGGCCCTCTCCTTCCTCTGCAGGTTTGGAACCCCCCAGACACTGTGCTGGACCCAGGCTGGGCACTGTGTGGTGCACGGGATGGAAGAGCCTCAGGGAAAGGGAGCAGTGGAGGGGAATGAGCCATAGAAGACTTATATCCCATGATGTTATATTGTATATGGCTGAGTGACATCACTGCTGTTCACAATGATCTCACTAATGGTCCTGGGTAAAACTTGAGAGCTCTTATCTCTCTTTTACCCAAATCCATCCAAACTTTGGCGGCTTTGTGTCAGCCCCCAGGCTGCACAGATCCAGCTGAGCCTAAAACATGAGTGCATAGGGGTTCGTGAAGCATCAGTAGCTTTTTGAAGGCCAAGGCGGGGATCTTGCAGCAGATTCCAGGGCTCTGTCCCCATGACCCTTTGCACTGGATCCATCAGCTCCTGTAACAACCCTCGGTTTAGGGCTGCCTTTCCCTGCCCATGTGTTTGTGATACAGGGTGTCCATCCTGTGTGTGCTTTCCAGCAGCCCTCCTGGAGGCACACAGCCTCCTGTGGACTCTCCCACAGCATCTCACCAGGACAGAGCAAAGCTCAACAGAGCAGGGAAGTGAAACAGCCTCATTGGCCTCCTTGGTTTCTTTGGATTTCCCATTTTCCAGAGCACAGGGTAGGGATCTATACTCATACCTTCCAGTCTTTGCTGTCACTGCCTTTCCTGCTCCTACCCTCCCCAGTTGGCTTCAATGAGCTTTAATCTCCTGTTGCAGGGTTCGGTGGGTTATCTCTAATCTCACTGCGAAGAACTGTACTTTATTACAGTGTTCCGTAATTGCTTGTAATCTGTATGTGGAAAAAAACCCACTTTACTGCCTATAGGGAGCTTACTACACCTAATAAAGACATAGAGATGTCTTTAATTTGGTTCTTTCCTAACACCAGCACCCCTGGTTTGTGCAACAGCGCAAGATGGAGCTCTCAGATGACATGCAGTGGCACAGCCCCATAAACTGAACTTTGGGCCAAGACAACAGAGGGCCCTCTCCATTCCACACAGATCTGTGGGAGCAGGGAGGAGAGAGGTTCTGCTCACACAGCCCTCACCTGGAAAATGAATGTTGCTCTCTGTCATCCAGGTGATGAAGTCCAAAAAGGAACAGTTGCAGTGCCACAGGTTGTCACTGAGCCCCAGAAACCTCAGGTTGGGCAGGTCCCGGACGGTGCTGGTGTCCAGGAATGTTAAGCCTGTCCGACTCACATCCAGGTGCCTCAGCCAGGTGTTGTTGGCAAAAGCATCCTTCTCGATGGCCACAAGGTTGGGATTGTCTGAGATTTTCAGCACCACCAGGCTGAGGAGGTGTGAGAAGGTGCTGAAGGTGACGTGGGTGAGGTTGTTGAAGCTGAGGTCCAGATAAACAAGCTTGGCCACACCAATGAAAGTGAAATCCAGGTCATCCCCCAAGAGGTTCTTGCTGCAGTCCAGGTACACCAAATCAGCCAGGAAGCTCAATTCCACTGCTGGCAGGTACGAGACATTGTTTGCTGCCAGAATCAGCTGCCTGGTGTCCAGAGGGATATCTGCAGGGAACTCCTGGAACTGCTGCCCGGTGCAGTTCACTTCCAGGTACTGACAGCTACATCTGCTTGGGCAGTTGATCCTCTCTGATGCCATCCCCATCCCCAAAAGAAACATGAGGCTCAGGGGCCTTGGTCTACCCAAAGGAGACATGATTTGAGACATTCCAAGCCGCTCAGCCCTTTGGGAGCTGCGAGCCGCCCTATGAAAGCTGCGCTACCCTCACAGCCAAGCCGAGGAGGTGCCCGGCTGCAAGGCTGTTGGGAAGCACTTTGTGTCCGTGTCTCATCTGACCCCTTGGCAGAGTGCCCAGCTGGAAACTGAGCCTGGTTTTTACATCGGCAAGTGTGGAACAGTGGCTGGAGCGTCTCTGCCAGGTGACACCTCGGTGATGTCAGTGGCTTGCAGAAGCTGCCTGGTTTCGGGGACAGTGCTGTGACCTTGCTGACCTGCTTCCAGCTGAGTGGAGGTGTGGGAAGCTGTGTGTGGGATAAGAGCACTGAAACTGTGTAGGGAGAGCAGTGAACAGTGCAAATTTTGTCAGAAATGGTGTCACACTGCAGTAGGTGCTTACTGGTTACTGATTAGGAAAGAGCCCCGTGCAATGCTGCACTGGGTCGGCATCATCTTATTGCAGGAGCCAGGAGGTTCTTGTCCCACCTGGAGTACTATGTCCAGCTCCAGGATCCTTGGCACAAGGAAGATGTGGACCTGTTGGAGTGGGTCCAGAGGGGCCATGAAGATGCCCAGAAGGCTGGAGCAACTCTGGCAAAGGAAGGGGACAGGATGAGAGAGCTGGGACTGTTCAGCCTGGGGAAGGTTCTGGGGAGACCTCACTGCAGCCCTCCAGGACTTATTACTTAAGACTTATCCAGGGCTTAAGAAAAGAGGGAGTTTTCACACAGGCGGATGGTGATAGGACAAGGGGAAATGGTTTTAAACTAAAAGAGGAGAGGTTAAGATTAGATATTAGGAAGAAATTATTCTCTGTGAGGGTGGGGAGGCATAGGTTGCCCGGAGAAACTGTGGCTGCCTCATCCCTGGAAGTGTCCAAGGCCAGAGTGGACGGGGCTTGGAGCAAGGCGGTCTAGTGGGAGGTGTCCCTGTCCATGTCAGGGGGGTTGGAACGAGGTGATCTTCAATGTCCCTCCCAACCCCAGCCACGCTGCGATGTCCCCACAACTCTCCGCTGTCAGCCGCGTCCGACCGCACCGCGCTGGCCCCGCCCCGCCCCTCACGGCCAACGGCCGCCGCGGGGGCGAGGCCTCCACAAACCACGCCCCGCCCACCCCGCGACGGCGCGGCGACGGATAGGGCGGGGGCTCCCCAAGCCCCGCCCCTCCAGCGGCGGCGCGGCCGCTGATAGGCCGGCGGGCGGTGCGGGGGCGGCGCGCGGGGCATTCAAGCGGCGGGCGGGCGGCGGCGCGGCCGTTGTGTCCGGGGCTCGCGCTGTGCCTCCTCCGCCGCCGCCATGGAGACCATGACTTTCCCCCGCTACAGCCCCGACGAAATCATCAACTCCCTCCGCACGTACGTCCTGACGGGCTCCGAGGGCCGAAACCTGGTCAAGAGCGACCTGTTCGGCACCCCCAAGGTGGGTGAGGCGGCGCGGGGCGACTCCGCGTGTCCCCCCTTCCCCCCCATCCCCGTGTGTCATAGGGCGCTGCCCCGGCCCGTGTCACCGCGGGGTGGGTGCTCCGGGGTTGGTTTGGAGTCCCGGGGCTCTTCTCGCCTCTCGGGCCTCGCCAGGAAGTGGGGGTGGTGTCATCACAGTACCTGGCCTGTCTTTCCTAGTTCTGTGGGAACTGGGTTAAAATAGCGGCAGTGGTTGGTAAAGTCTCATAGTTCCAACAGTTTGGCTGATAAATCAGTGCTTTAAACCGGCCCCGGCTTCTAAACCCATCCCTGCTTCACCCTCTTTCTTCTTGTGTCGCTCCGACCATTAATGTTGCTGTTAATGAGTGTCCTCAGCGGAAGAAAAGTGGCTTTAAAGTGGAATTGATGCCTCAAGGTGGCTCCCTGTGCTTGTGCCTGTGGAGGGAGGGGTCTGGCCCTAATTGCTTAAGAAATGACAGGATGATGGTTTTTAAGAAACAAAATTGATAATGGATTAGAGCTATAAATGAAAAAACTATTTGACTTATAGGTATTTTCCCGTTTGTTTTAGTATTGTGATGAAGGGCACTCTTTGCTACAAGATTATAGTTTCTGTGACTTTTTTTTTTTTTTTAGGTTTTTGGTGTCACTTGGTTTGAAAACTGCTCAGTGAGCAACAATGTAATGAAAACTGGGCCTGGCATACATAGTCAGGGCTGTACTTGTCTGAGCTGCCTGCTGTCCCTTAAAACTGAATCATGAGCAAGTATTGCTTGAACTGCAAAATATTGAAAAGTGAAACTTATTTGTCTTGGTGGCTCAGTGAAATCGGCCTCTCTGTGTTAAAGGCTGAACTAGTTTTATGGCCTAGCCTGGGAGCCCTGAATAATCAAACATATGGAATACTGATTCATGTCCTTTCTTCCTGCAGCTGGACGTTTTACACCTGATTTACATGAGAATCCTGCAGAAGGTGTATGCAATCAACCTGGAGCACTTCTACGTGGTATGGCTGTGGTGGCAGGGTAATGGAATGTGAAAGGAAAAGAATATTGCCTTTAACAAGTGTTGAAGTTTCTCACTAGCAAATGGCTAGCAGCCTGGTGTTTTGTGTGTTGTAATTGCAGCAATGGGAGCTTAGGAATTCTGCCTCTGTTGCAGAAAACTTGTGAAGTGTGAAGTGCCACGGGCATTTGAGTTTGTGTTCAGGGCAGTTTCTTAGACAGGAGTGGGACTGCAGTACTGCAGCACAGCCATCGGCATGGCTCGTTAACCAGAGGTAAATGAACCTGGGAGCATCATCTGTGGGCTGTTGCTGAGGCCTTGAGAAGTTGCTTTGGTCATTGTTCTTCATCTGGATATTAATTTCAGCTCAAGATACCTGTAGGAATAATGGTTTTGTGGCTGTGCTGCCTCTAGGTTTGCTTCTTTTCTTTTTCCATGGAAAGTGGACTCCCTGCTGGAACTAGTGGGCATGAAGAGGAGCTCACTTACCTCTGTAGGCTGTGAGGACAGGCTTTGGAGAGCCCTCTCCTTTTGTGGTTAAGCTGTGAATTTTGTTATTTGAAATGCTGAGGGTGCCAGAAGGGTCTGTAAAATCCAGGGAGAACTGGACAAGCTTAAGAAGGGACACCATGTCCAGCCTTGAAAATACATACTGTGTCCTTGGGCAATTGCCTTTGCCCACAGCTGGAGGAGGTTGGACTGATCTAGAAGGAAAGTAAGTATTGCTTTTAATATTTGATCATCTTCATTCTCCATTAACTATGAGAAAAGTAAAGAGAGGCTGATAACTCGCAGTGAACAAGGTACTTGGTTTTCTGTCTATGTTAGGCAAGAACTGATGCCTGCAAATGAGAATAAATAGTGTTGTCTCATGGCATTTTTGGATATGCTCTTCCCTTTCAGTTTATGTGCACAAGGTAACTGTTCTTCACAGGGCATGACATTAGCTGGGGTACTGTATCGTGAGATTTAAAATATAAGAAAAATGTGACGGTGTACCACTACTTTCTCGTTTTGACTTCCTCATAAAACAGTTGAGTGTGTCAATTTTGGCGTGTTTAAAGAAAAAGCTTCTTGCTGGTAGGTGTGTAAGGCAGAGACTGTTGTCCTGCACCAGTTATGAACAAATGACAGCAGAGTTTAGGTTGAATTCCAGAGTTTGTAATGTTGCTGCTTTAGTTATTGTTGTCTTGTATGTTTTTCGGCCAAAAATGGCACTGATGAACTTGATGACACTTTTCAGCCTTTAATATATGTTCCCTGTGGATGGGAAGACAATCCTCAGAGAGTGTAACTTATTGGAATTATCTTATGCTGTGGAAACCTGTGTAGTTTTTGTTATAATTATTCTCTACTTATGCACTGACTCTCTTTACTCTTTAGATGCCAGTCAACGTTGACATAATGTATCCACAGATATATGACGGCTTTCTACCTGTCTGCAATTTGTATATTCACATGTAAGTAAAAGATGCTGCATCTGTTCAGTTGCTATTTTTTGTAAAAGTCCAAGTTTTTAAAAGCTTTGGGGTTATATGCCTTTGTGCTGATGGTGATTCCACTGCTTGCTGGCTTTGAGCAAAGTGAAATTTGCAGATGAACAGGGGGCAGCAATATTTGATAGAGCAAAATTCCTATCTTGTAAAAATGAATGGGTTAAATAATCCAGCCTCACCAAGCTGGAGCACAAATCCACACTTGGAGTGGCTGGAGGGTCATCATTACCTAGAGCAGAAATCTTATGTTCCTGTTGTGTAAATTTGCTGTCTGAAGTCTGTTGGAATCATGTGAGTGTTATAGCCTTTAAGCTTTATTTCAGTTGTAAGGGGAGAACTGACTAATAGTTAGGTGTAGGAGTTCCCTAATTAAGCTGAAAAGTTGTTCTACAGGCGAGTATTTTGTCAATTGAAATATCTGAGATGCTGTAAGAATGCAAACTATTAATGCTGATCAGTGTGTGGAGTCCTGCTGTGTTACTCTCCTGAGACTTGTGCTTGCAGTGCAAATGCTCTGGGATGAGAGGACAAGACATGTTTTGTAGTAAATGGTTATGGCACAAAAGCTGAGTAATGGTCACCACAGATGAGGTGTGTCTCGTTTTCCTTGCAGGGAGCGCTTGCTGCCGGTGTGCCGGATTAACGATTTCCAAATTGCTGATATTTTAAACCCAAGTAAGCAAGTGCATTATAATTCTTGGGTTTCCTGGGGTGGTGGGTGTTGCTTGATATCCAGGTGCTTTTTCTTATTTGGCATTACCAGATGGACATCTAGTATGGTCCCTGGGTTCCAGCTCCTCTTCTGACCCTTGTTGTGACCCTTTGACAAGTTGGTTCTACTGAGCAGTTCTTATTCCTTTTGTAGGCTGATCCAGGTCAATAACTGAGGGCAGTTTTAAATGCTATGAGTCTGTTGAACTGCTGGTCTGGGGAGTGGACTGTGACACACTTAAAATAGTGTAAGAATAGATGGTAATGAAAATTACCCTGACAACTTTGGAACTCTGTAGGATTTTTTATGCTGATGCCTGTGTAGGAAGTGATAGAATTTTTGCTTCACCCTTTTAAGTACCCAGCTGTGGTGACTCTGCTACAACACAAACAACTTGGAAAAGATTGTTGTGAAGAACTCTTTCACTTCTGGATCTGTCTTGAATAAAACATATTTGTAATAATCTTTCACATTGCTTGGAATAAACCCAAGAAGTCCCTGCAGTTCAAATTGCTGCCTTCAGTTAGTCTGAGAGTTACAGAGAGGTTATCTCCTCGGAGTTGTAGTTCAAGATTGACACTCCTTCTCCCTGCCTTCTGTTTTAATGGGAGGCTGTGTGTTAACAGTCTTTTACCCAGGTGCATTATTCATTTGCTGAATTGGACAGAACTGCTAAGAGTTTCCAACTAGCTTGGTGCTAGTTTTTGTGTAGTCTGAAATCTTTCCAAGGTGAGCAGGGGAAGAACTAATTTGAATTCTGTTTTGTAATTTCTGCCTCTTCTCTGAACTACATTTTGCCCAAGTTTTCATAAGCAATTGCAATGCATGTGGAAACCAGCACGGTGATATCTTGCCATTCCTATTTCAGAAACAAAGAGGACTGTTCGCTTCTTGAGTGGCATCCTTAACTTTGTAAACTTCAGAGAATTCCGGCGTCAGGTCTACCTGGAGTTACAACTGAACTATGTAAGGCTGGGTGCTGTGTTACTCCAGATGCCTATTTCAGTATAATTAATGTTAACCTAGAAATGGGAGCATAAAGGTTGTGGTTTAACTTCATGTTTATGTAACATGTTGGAATTTTAAATGTAGCCAAGTAGTACAGGAAGGTACCAGTTACTACTTAGGATATTACTGAAAGGTTTTTGGTTTGTTTTTTTTCAATAATTATTTGGTAGTTTAGCCTGGTAAGAGAAGGATTGACACTTTGCATTGTTTTGAGAAAAGATGGGTGCAATGGTCAGTGGGCTGAAGCTTGAATTGCTGGTGGCTTCTCTTCTGGATATCTCAGCAGTTCAGAGATGCATTTCATGCAAAATAATGATGAGCAAAGCTAACAGAAGCTCAGAGAGAAGCTATATTCCTCTAAAATAAAAAATATCTGAATATTTAATTTGCAGAAAACAGCTCTGGAGAAACACCAGCAGCTGGAGGCTGCGAATCGTGAGGCAGCAATGAAGCTGGAGAAACTGAAGTGAGTATGAGGAGTAAGCACCAGGAGAGGCACTACTTGACTTGCCTGTTCAGGCTGGATCAATGGGACAATGCCAGTTGTGTGAGGTTCAACAAGGCCAACCAAGTGTGGAGTCCTGCTCTTGGGACATAATAACTCTGTGCAATGCTACAATCTTGGGGAAGAGGGGCTGGAAAGCTGCTGGACAGAAAAGGACCTGAGGGTGCTGATCAACAGCAGATGAACATGAGCCCAGGTGGGCAAGAAGACCAGTACCTGGTACCTGGCTTGTGTCAGCAAAAGTGTGGCCAGCAGGACCAGGGCAGTGATTGCTCCCCTGTGCTGGGCACTGGTGACACCACAAATCCTGGGTTTAGTTTTGGGCCCCTCACAACAAAGACATTAAGGGGCTGGAGTGTGTCCAGAGAAGGGCAGTGGAGCTGCTGAAGGATCTGGAGCACAGCTGAGGAAGCTGTGGGTGTTTATTCTCTGCAGGCAGAGAATGAAAATGAGTTTGAGAATATATGGCTGCTTTGAGAGAATCCTGTTATTTGTATATTGGGGACTAGGGTGAAACTTTTTGCTGTTACAGTTAGTTTGTAATGATGTCTTTATCTCTTCAATAGCTGTAGGAAGCCCATTTTTAACTTAATAGATGGGTAAAGTCATCTGCCTTAGTTATTTGACATGTTTGCCACAATCTCTGTTTCAAGCCATTTAGTCCTGCTGCCTGTGTCTTTGCACCATTAAGTTTTGTTTTTGTTTGTGGGTAATAGGATGAAGAGATGGCTAGTTTCCAGGATAGCTTTCAAAACAAAGTGTTTTTTCTGACAACTGCTTTTGGTGTGTGCTACACAGGAGGTTTTCTAGCTAGTATAGGTCTACCTTGATACAAGCTGTTTCTGTGGCAGGTAATATTATTCAAATTTCCTAAATGAAAATCACCACAAAAATTGATGGGAGTGTTGTTTTTTTGTGCTTTGCTTAACGGGATCTTTGAACTTAGTCCTCTTTTGTGCTTGTATCACTTCTTGCCAAAATAGCCCTTTAGATTATGCTTTGAAGTCTTTCAAGCAAAGGAAAATAAGATGTATTAATCTGAGACTGTCTTGCTCTGTTTACTAAAGTTACTGACTGTAAACTCTCTGGAGAGAGTGATTGTTGTATCTACTGTACTCTGGCTTGACTGTAATGATGCTGAAGCCGTGCAATATCTTTATTTCTCACTTAGCACCGTTCCAGCTGAACATCAAGAAGAGGTCAAGCAGCTGACAGAGAGCATTCGGGACCTGGAGCACCTGCTAAGGCAAGACTATCGCCGCAAACAGGTATCATCTTGTTAGATATTTCTCTGAAACGCTGCTATGACTTCGAATTGTGGCTGTTCCTCACTTCTGTTGATGTTGTTCCCTTACCTGTAACATAGAGGGTAAAGGAGACTTTTCTGACTTAAAGGTCGTTGCAACACAGTGCTGTGTCTGGCCCCTCTTCATTTTGCCTTAAGGAATGTGAAACATTCTTGAAATCAGACTTGGGGAATACAAAAGTATATTCGGCTCTTTCTTTTGGAAATTACTTGGGAGATACCTGTGTTACTATTTGGAACTGTGATGTGTACTTTTCCTTTTGTTTTTCATCTGAATTTAGAGAATTGGAACAGGAGGTGAGCCATGGCAAGAGATGAGGCCTAAGAAGGGTTACCCAAGGGAATGCCTGGCAAAAAGAGTGGGGTTAATTGCAGGGGTAACTTTTCAGCAATGGAAACTTGCCTCTAAGGTCTCATGTGTAACCTTTTCAGCTTCTCTGGAGGGAAAAAAAAAGAGTAATAATCTATGGTTAGGGTTTTTTATGTCAAGTCATGTCTCTACTGTTGATATTATTAACCATATGTTTGACTTCTATATTATTTGGAACCTTAAATTAGTTGTTGTTTTTTTCTTTTTTTTCCTGAAGAACAGGGCCTCTGTCAAAGAAGGTTGTGGGGGTATAATAATGCTAGGGTCAGTAGGAATAGAGGTAGTCAGTCTTATCCCTGTTCCTAGCTACCTACTACTGGCTACACCCCTCATGCTCCCAGTGGCATTTGCAACAACATCCCTCTTTCCTGCCTTTGAAGTCTTACAGAGTGCAGTTTTGTCTGCTGGTTATGACACTCCAAAGGACCCATAAATGGGATTTCTCCTGTAGACAGGTCTGATAGAAAGGTAAAGCAGGTAGCAGTTACAGAGATGCTTATTTAAAGCTTGTTGCTTTTTTAGACAGCTCTTCAAGAAGTGATTTCACAAAAGAAGATGGATATTGCTGAGAGTACCCGAAAACTGGTGAGTACACCTCTGTGTAGGTGCAGGATGTAGCTTCCATCTCAGAACAACTAATAGATCACCTCTCTTTCTAGGATAAAATTTTTCTTGGAGGTAGGTAACTTTCAGGTGGTGATCATTAATTTTCTAAAGAAAATGACTCAGCTTAATTTTTCCCTTCCATGGGAGCTTTACTGCAGAAGCTGGTTTTGTTGTTAACTTTAAATACACATCTCTACAATGTCAAGCTCTCTGTGTTCAGGAAACTGATAAAGGGCAAGAAATCTGGACTTCTGAGATGCCATGGGCTTACCTTAAGTGCACAAAGTGGGCTAATGAGGCAGGACTGACCTCATTTGTGGAGACAAAACAGGAGGTTTTGAGAGGTTGCACAGGAAACTTTTTGCTCTTCTACTAGGCTAATAGAGCTGGCTCTGAAACCCTCCAGTGACTGCCTAGGTGAGGTATTCTGAGGGAGAGTTGCTAGTAATACACCAGGCTGGATGGGGCTCTGAGCACCCTGGTCTGTGGAAGGTGTCCCTGCCTATGGCAGGGGGTTGGAATGAGATGATATTGAAGGTCCCTTCTAACCCAAACCATTCTAGGATTAGCTGGCAGACTCCTTGTGGGGTACTAGTTAACTGCAGTTCTTGTGACTTAGTATTTGCACCCCTGTAAGCAAGTTAGGGAAGCAAAACGGACTGTTATCTGCTTTATCTGTATAGAGGAATTTATTCTTAAAACCTCTTAATGAGGAATGACTACAGAGCAAAGAACCTGTCTAGTTATAAGATCCTGGCAAACAATGCTATACAATTCCTCTTTGTTCACCTAATTGCTAATATTGAAAGTGTGTTTGTCTTGTTAACCAGAATGACCTTAAAGTGACTATGGCTACTTTGAAAGAAGAACAAGAGCAGCTGAAATCAAAAATTGTGGAGAGTCCAGAGGAGCTGAAAAATTACAAAGAACAGATGAAAGAGACTGTTAAGAAACTGAAGAAATCCAAGGTGAGGTCTCCCTCTGTCCACACAAGGAGGTATTCTATTAGAAATAGCACATGTTTCACTGAGCTGTCATCATCTAGGACTGCTTCTTGAATGACATGTAGTAAAACATCAACAGAACAGTTGTTAGTCCGAAATGAAATCATAACTTCAGAGAACTGAGGGTTCATAATGGAGTTGATGGTTTATTTTTGATTTTTTTGTTTGTCTATTTTTGGGGGGTTTTTTTTTGCTTGTGCTGGTGGCTTCTTCTTTTAAGCAGGATTGCAGTCAGTGCTGCTTTTTCCTCAATGAGTAATTGTTTATTCGTGAGGCTAGATGTAGAACTCTTGAATCTGTAATGTACCTGTCTGGCTGTTCGCTCTCAAGAGATGACAATATTTGATAGCTCCCAAATGCCTTTGGATTTAGAATATGTGCTTGGTAATGGTTTTGTTATCATTCACTGTTTCTGGAATTGATGGCTGTCTCCACTAGTATGCTAATCACTGAGTTCCCTTCCTAGCTTTTTTTATTTTATTTTAATGTCCAGTCTTTTAATTTTTTAATCATGTGGTTCATGATTGTTCATACCTCTGTAGGTATTTTTGTTCCAAAGGTGTAAACTTAATATCTCATTTCAATAACTGTTAAATGTTACTTCTAGTGTCTGGTAAACAATGAGGGTATGGGTATAAAAGTCAATATGCTTTAATTCTATATAAAATAACTCCAAAGCTGTTTATTAATAGTATTTTCTCTTTAAAGGAAGAAATTACTCAGAAATATGAGAGTTATAGAGACTTAGTTGAGATTCTGCCATCATGCCAACTGGAGGTGCAGTTATACAAAAAGAAGATGGAAAGACAAGGAGCAAATGTGGAGAGACTGGCCAGTGTATTATCAGAGGTTTGTATTATCCAAAATTACATCTGATTGGGGTGAATTTAATGTCTAAGCAAGACAGGTGATCATCAGTAGATGTCTGTACTGTGAAAGTTTCCATCTCTCCTCTTCCCTGTCAAGAAGGAATTTGGAAAACTTGAAAATGTCATTCTTTATAATGTCAGTAAAACATTGCTGCTGCTTTGCTGTGTGGCACTAGCTAATGTACTATGCACTAGCTATTGACCACTTTGAATAGTCAAAGCCTTGGTTGCCATAGAAACCTGACCTAAAATAGTTTGAACTGTCTTGGGGTTGTTGGTAAGAAATGATGGAAGAAGAAGAGTGAAATCGAGTTTCTTCTGCCTCAGGAGTGGAAACTAAGAGCAAAAAAATTGCTACTTCAGGAAGAGTCATGTCTTAAGTGACCTTACTAATATTACTAAGGCAGACATTCTGTGATGAAGTGTTTGTCACAATACAGTACCTTGCTATTTGCTACTTGGTTTTGGGAGAATGCAATTGTTAGGAGCATTTGAAAAAATGCTGTGCAGTCTTTTTGGGTATTTGTATAGCATGTGTTCCAATTACCCTTGGCAAAGAGTTAGCAGAAGTCACAGTAACTTCTGAAAGTCATTTTAAGTAATGGGATCTTGTCCATTTGGATGTATTTATAATCAGATAAAGAACTGGTATTTTGCTGGGAGAATGAGTTAGCAGTCATATTTCCAAAAAGCAGCAACCTAGTTCTAATCTTAGTACACTAACAGGGAATGTTATCTTGATTATTTTTCCCTTATTGAATTTTTTTTTGTCCTTATGTACTCCAGGTCAGAAATATTGAGGACCAGAGTGACAGTGCTCAGATAGAGCTGAAAAGGGTGAAGACGGATGAAATGTCCCTAAAGAGACTGGTCACTGCAAAACGGGAGGCGCTGGCTACGATTGAGCTAAAGATACAAAAGAAGCGTGAAGATGTTGAGCAGCACAAGTGCACTGTGCTTGAGTAAGGATGAGCTGATGTTTCTGCCTGATGCTGCTTTATGTCTTCTTTATGTGCTGCCAAAGTTCATGTCTGGTACAAACACACAGCTTAGCAGTAAGAAGAAAATGAGCAGGGTGGGACAGCTCTGTATGAAGACCAGTGATGCTTCAGGCAGGGACTTGGGGTCTCAAATCAATAATTGCAATGTGACTTGACAGCAATTCTTTTATTGGAGCACTAATTTAATTTATAATGCTTATTCTTGATTCTTTTATCTTCTTAAAGAGAATGTCACATTGGGATAATTTTCCAACTTATCAGACTTCAACAAAGCCCCATTTGCCTTTCATGAATTTTTCATAATTTCCCTTGCCACTTTTGCTCATTATCAAAGATGTTCAAGACCCATGGGGAAATGGGGCTCTCATCTTGGAGGAGCATTATCCTGACATGATGCTTCTGAAACAAAAGGAAAAGTGTCAGTTGATCAAAGCCTCTCAGCCCCTCTTCCTTCCTACCGTATGCTAAAGGCAGGTTGCACGGCCGTGTTTGCAGCACGTCAGTCACTCCTGCAGCAGCAAACTGCAGCCTTGTAAGGTCCTGGCTTCACTGTGAGATTAGAAGAGCTGAACTGTTATAGAGAATTTATTATATAACAATTTTCTTTTTTTTTGTACATGGATAGGAAAGGGAATGTGGAAAATTATTGGCTGAGTAGATTAACTGTGACAGAAGAGAGCTTCTTCCAGAGAGCTGAGAGAGTCAAGGAAGATTTAGTCATGCTTAAGGTTTGTGTGGTCTGTAGAATGGCAGAAATATTCCCAGGCTGCCTTTGCTCCCTATTTAGTGTGTTGTACCAGCTAAAGGAGATTATTTGGAAGGAAAATAGGTTGGACATTAGGAGGAATTTCTTCACAGAAAGGATGGTTACAAATTGGAATGGTCTGCCCAGAGAGGTGGTGGAGTCAGTGGCCCTGGAGGTACTTAAGGAAAGACTTGGTGCCCTGGTCTAGTTGTCATGGTGGTGTTGGGTCAGAGGTTGGACTTGATGATCTCAGATATCTTTTCCAACCCAACTGATTCTGTGGTTCTGCGATAAAGAATAAAAATAATATAATATAATGCTTCTTTATGTCAAAAGTTGCTGCTGATTTCTGGTTTTAATGGGTTAGATATTTCCATTGAGTGACAAAATTAGATACTTTGATAAGCAAGAGGGGAAGGGAGGTGACCTTAGTTTGAAGATAAGAGGTTTTTTTTGGTGAATAAGAGAATGTGTCCTGACTGTTCCCTGGAGGTAGGAAGGTGTAAGTGGGCTCTTGCTAAGTACGAGTTATTTCAGCTATTCTTTACAGAAAGCTGTTGCTACAATTCCAGCTGTATTTATTGTACAAATGCTTAGGGCAAACTGGTAGGTGGGTTTTGCACTTGAAGTCAGAGTAGATCCCCTGTTCCCACACTCACCCTTTGCTGATGATGTGGCAGCTCAGCTGGAGCTACTTGGATCTCCCTGCATGCTGGGGAAATATTATTTGGTCCTTGGGACACAGTGGAATGATGGACTGGAAGTTGCAGGTAACAGATGTAGATGTATAGGATTAGAGTTTGGTGGGGTGGGATCTAGGGCTAAGGAAAATGTGTGACATCCAGTTATGCTGAAACATCAAGTGCAGCTGTGTTGCTTTTAACCTGCATCACTCCAAGACGGGAAGGCAATGTCCAGCTGCCTGTTGGGTTTGCTCCACTGAGGTCACTTGAGTTGCCTTGACTGGCAGCAACTGAGGATCTTCAACATCCTCCTTTAACTCCACTTCGAATTTCCCTTCTTGTACCTAAGTTGTTCTAGTTTAAAAATTGGATTAATTTCCAAGCAAGTAAGTTCTATACATTGTTTCTGGAAGCTACTAGTTTCATGCTCCTAAAATGCAAGCTTTGGTCCTGGTGGGGTTAAGCTTAATCTAGAAGTAGTCAAATGACTCAGTACTAACTTTTTTCTCTCACCTTTAGATATTGTAACAAAGTCCAGGAGAAGAGAGGTGCTGTATATGATAAAGTGATGGCCATTCACAAGGAAATCCAACAGACGAGGTACAAAATTGAGGAGCTGAAGGAGAATGCTGGGAAAGAAGCAATGAAAGCCAAGGTGAGGTTTCTTTACTCCCTCCCCACAAAGGAATCCTCTTTTTGGTAAAAAATCAAAACTGATTTTTAACTTGAGCTGTGCAGATAAAGGAACAGTTACTGTAGTATGGGCAGTACAATAATCCTCTCAACAGCCTCTCTCAAACACAGGACCACTTGCCATATCACAAATACTTTCTTCCTAGAGTTTTATTAACATGTCTGTCAAACTCAGCTTTGGAAAGAGGCAGAAATCCTGAGGGGTTGAGAGTGAGGGATCACAGTTTGCCTGTAGCATCTCATCCTATCTCTTCATTACTGAAGTACTGTCCATGCTGGGAAGTCACAGTGGCAGAGACCTTGGAGACACAGGTTAACACAGAATGGGGCAAGGAGTGGTGTGAATACTGGGCTAGTGATGTTTGCTTGATCATCTTAGTGTTGTAACCACGAGAGTTCCAACAGAATTGCAATAATAGGATTTTGTTTGTGGCTGCTCTTATTTTTCTGGTGTAACTCCCCTGTGTTTTGTGAGTGCTGCTTCTTAAACCAGGGACTAGATACCTTTGAAATCACTTGAGTCCACAACATCACTCACTTAACATTTATGCTTGATAAGGATTTAACTTTGCTGATGGATTTTTTTTTTTCTTCTTTATCTTCTCATTTCAGGAAATACACCTAAGTTTGAAGGCTGCATTGGAGAAGTGTCATGAATCTCTCATTAAGACAGCAAAGAGTTTCGAAGCCTCAAGAAAAGAGAGAATTGCTGAACTAAAGAAAGGGCTGCTTAGCATTCAGTCTCCTGGAAGTAGTCACTAAGCCTGTCTGCACTTGTGTTCCACTTTCATTATGTTTCTCCTTGTACCTGAACTCAAGAGCTTGTGCTTTGCATGGGGTGGATAATGATTCCAGGCAAAAGCCAGCTTTCTCAAAAACCATGTCAGAACACGTTTAGCTTTGTAGGCAGATCCTGATGTCATGAGCTCACTAACATGGATAAGAAAACACTCAGTTTCTATTGTTTCAGTCAGTACCTAGTTTTAGTGGTAATATTTCAATTCTTGCTAACTCCAAATTGCTCAAGACTTTAGACAGAATCCTGATTTTTGTAGAAACTGTTCTGTTAGCTTTGCTCTGGGAAGACCTGGTGCCTTGGTGTGGCCTGAATGTATGGACTGTTCAAGATAAGTCAGTAACAGGTGATATTCCACTACCATTACTCAATTAAGATGAAATCCTGACAGAGCAGTAGCATCCATGTAAATGCCAAGTTGCTCTCATGACAAATATTGGTAACTGTAAACACACAGGAGTATCATTTTAGTTAACAGTACAGTCCCACTCAATCCTTGAACTTATTTCTGCTCTGTGGGGTATTGAACCCCCATCTGTGTTTATTAAAATGTCTATGTTAGGGTTCTTAATTCTCTTAAAAATTTTAGATTGATATTTTGTACCTTAAGTTGTGATGGCACCCAGTGTGCCACAGTGGTTTTAATTATTTTGAAAAATGTTCCTTTTTACAATATTTGATAAAAGGATTAATCCTTTCTCTCTTGTCTCTTCCTTCTCTACTCCTCTAACTGACTGGGCATAACATTTCAATTGAAATACTTTGCTTTGTGCATTTTTTAGGAATGTGTGCTACACAGCTTTTTATGATGGAAGGAGGATCATCTTTCTAGTTTTGATTCTTCTCCATCTCTTATTAACTAGAGGTGTTTGCAAGTCAGTCAGGGACAGCAGATGATCCTTGCTTCTAAAGCTCTCACTGAGGCATCAAACCCTCCTATGGTTTTGCTCTGAGGTTTTCTTCCTTGCACTGTAGCATAGAATTGTTTAGATTGGAAAGGCCCTCAAAGATTGAGTCCAACCATTAACCCAGCACTGCCAACCCCACCACTAAACCGTGTCCCCAAGTGCCACAACTACACTTTTAAATACCTCCAGGGATGGGGACTCCACCACTTCCCTGGGTGTGAGACATTTCAGAGGAAGTCAGTGTTAATCTGCAAATTTCAACCTAGTAAAAAGCTTCTCATAGTTTTCCCATTTCTGTCAAATACAGTCTGTGTGATAGGTGTGTGTGTGTGTGTGTGTGTGGCAGCACTTTATGTTTTTAAGTGAGCATACTCTTCATCCCAACAGTTCCGTTGTGTTGTGCAGAGTTTGGGGAAAGAATAACTGCTAAGGTGGTTGATTTCTTCCAAGAGCTGAAGATGCTGAGTATGTAAAAGGCACAGAAAAATTCTCTTTGGGCTTCATGCTCTAGGCCACATGTGGAATAATCATGTTCTGGGTATTGTACTTCAGAAGTGAGTTTTAAATGAATATCTCCGCTTGTGCTGTGTATTAAAACGTTGTTCTTCACATGCTCCACTCCTTTGCCATAGCATGGATTCTAGTGTAACATGGATACTATCTATGGGAGGGTGTGGCTTCTCATTGCAGTACTTACCAATGAACTTGATGCCTGTGCAAAATGCTGTGGTAATTTCTAGGTATCTCCAGCCTTACAGTACTATGACATTTAAAGACAGATGACTTCATAAAGTTTTCCCTGAGCTTTCCTGTGATATCCCTGCTTCTCATGTCAGTCTAGCCTATATCCCAGCTTGACAAGATGCTGGAGGCCAAGCATTTCTTCTTTTAACTTCTCTGAGAATTTTGGGGTGTGATTTAACTTTTTTATTTGGTGATGCTGTAGAGATTCAAAATGGTATTCTATAGACTTGGTATTCTATAAATATTGCAGTAATATCTCCTTGCTCATAAATACTGTTTGGAGGCTGCACTCCACAGCCTGGATATATTGCAGCAGCTCTTGGGAGATTCCCAAAAGCTTCAATAGATACTGCAGGGGATTACTCCAGCCAGCAGATGAAGATTCCTAGGCTGGAGAGATGATGCCTGTGTATCCCAGTGACCAGGAGTTTGCAGCCCAAAGAAAAAGCTGGATTCTGGTTCCTGCTCTTGGGAATTTTGCAACTCTGACTGTTGGGTAAAATAAAAGGCTGCAATTCACGAAGAAAGAAAACTATTGATTTCCAGGAACAGATTTTTGTATTTCCAATAGGCTCTTGTGCCTTCACAGCCACCTGTCTATTTTTACCTAAAGTACTTATAAATAAAACATAAGCAAAATGTATTTTATCTAGAGATAATTGATTCCTAGGTGTGAGTCTACTGCTGCTTTTCAAAAAAACATCTATCCACCACAAACCATATGGCAGTGAGGGGAATTTAGTGTGGCCTGAAGAGCAGTGAAGGAAGGATGGCTTTGCTAAGGCAATACAGCTCTCTTTTCCTCAAGAGGGCAGTGTTAGTCAAAATTTTCTTGTTGTTTTTTTGTTTGTTTTTTTTTTTCTTTTCTTTTTTTTTTTTTTTTCTTTTTCTGTCTATACTACTGCTTAAATGTGCAGTTTAATTTTTATGGCACATGCTTAAGTGTAATACATAATATATGACATAAATTGTAGCATGTTTGCATTGTACTGCTTGGACTGGCCACACTTGTTTTGAAATATGTTGAGTTACAAGCAGTATTCTGTAAGCAGCTTTTAAAAGAATTTAAAGCAACACTGGTATCTCTGCAAATAGAAAAAGTAGTAGTAAGATGGGAAGTGTGTGTGAAGCTTAGATTATGGCTTGGCACAGCAAGTGAGCACAAAACTTGAAGAGGCTGTGTGATACCTTTTCCCCACAGTGCTGCTGCTTTCCTTGGGAAGGAAGGAATCCTCTTTATCACTCCTCTGTTTTGCCTTTACTCCAGAGCGTGGCTGCAAAGATCTTTAGAGCTCTGTCTCTGAAGCCTGATTTCTGTTAGGCTTTGGGTGAGGAGAGCGGGGCTGGGTTAGGTGAGCAAGGTTTGTATTTTCACCTCTGAGACCCTCTTGCTGGGGTATGGGATGAGCTGGAAGAGGAGCTGGTGTACTGGCCACTTGGTGGGGATGTCGGCTCGGAGAGTGGCTGTGGATTCGTGTTCCATTTCTGACACACGAAGCCAAAGGAAACCTGCTGAATCTGCGGCTTCAGGATCACAGCTTTGCAGCTCGACACTCATATATTCTAGGACTGGCCAGGACCAGGTAAACTAGAAGTTAAAACTTACTGGCATGTTTCCACCTAAGGATATGACCCTTTTTGCTGCCTGTCCCTGATGGACTTTGCCCTGTAGTGCTGCTTTTTGGGTTTGGTCTCACTTGCTACATGGAAGGTACATGAGTGGAGCTGTTGAAATTTGGAGGTGAACACTCCAGGCAATACCTTGGGTGAGACAGGTCCTTACAAGTACCAAAACACAATCACTAGAGGTGGATGTTGTTGGCTCTAGGAGAAGGGAGGTTGTAGATGTGGGTTTTTTTCACCGAATAAAGCCTCAGTTTTATTACCACGAGGCTTTTGTCCCTTTTTCCCCGAGCAGAAAAGAGAGCAAGGTGTTTAGGAGCACAGTTTCCTAATGGGTAACACATCACGCAGTACTTACTGCAAAAAAGATTTTGGAGGTTGGGACAGGGATATTGTGAAAGGCAATGCACTGAAAAATGTACTTGCAAAGAAAAATTGGCGTTAGAGGAAAAAAAATGTTGTTTTTGCAAGCTGCAAGTCCAGCAGGAGAGGACTGGGCGAGGCCAGTGTTTGTAGAAAATGAGCAAACAAAAGGAGGGAAAACCCAGGTTATATTGAGGTTTCCATAGCAACACAATACTTTTCCTGGAAAACTCAAATGATGAGATCTAATCTATCTGCTATTTAACTCTTGCATGCAGAAGCCCTCTCCTTTCTCGACTCACCTGTTCTCCTTCACAGCACCCTCTCTAGTGACGAGTGTGCTGTCACTATGCCATAGTGGTCTCCGTGGGGAATGATGTCCCTGGGACACAGCTGTTCCTGTTCTGTTCCCCTGTTCCAAAGCACATACGAAAGGAAAACCTTACCAGGCAGCTTGTGTGTGATGAGCTGTGTGTAGGAATGACTTGCCAGGTGTGCTGATCCTGGGGAGCTTCAGTTCCCTGCAGATCCCAGAGAGGATGGGCTAAGCTGGTACTGGGAAGTGGTACCTGTCAGGCAGGTACATTGCTGAGGTGTTCCACAGCCTGCAGGGTTTGCTGCATAAGGATGTGTTCTCCATGGAAATGACGCAGCTTAGTGCCTGTCTGAGATCTGTGCAAAACTTTCTGCAACCATTTGGAGAGTTCGACAAAGTAGCCTGTTTTAAATTTGTGCCTGACTTAAATTTATACCTAGTATTCTGCCAGCTGAAAAGCCTCAGATTTGGGGAATGGGAATCCTTGATGGCAGGGGAGGTTTCTTGTGGAGAAAGGTGGAAGGGTAGCAGCTTTTACCTGACAAAAAGGACACCTGAGAGAATCGGTAGCATGGCAAAAATCCATGAGATTACTATTGATCTCAAATACATAGAAAGCAGTGTATGTTCTTTGTTGAGAGAAGCAGAGAGAGTGGATGTAAGAGAACTCTCCTGGTACAACAGAGAGGGATTGGATTCTATTCTTTGCCTTCTGCCCCTGGCAGCACCACCCTTTGCTCCATCCTTGCCTCTGCTGTAGGACCTGGCAGGCAAAAGGGGCTTGTTCTTGTAGGGATAATGGAACAGGGGGAATTGCCTCCCTTTGTACCTGAGGTCCCCTGCATGGTGAATTATTACAAAGAGAGGGTGGTAAGGGAAGGCAGGTATCTAAAATGGTGCTGAGTATCTTATCACAGAATCATGGAATGGTTTGGGTTGGAAGAGACCTTAAAGCTCATCCAGTTCCACCCCCTGCCATGGGCAGGGACACCTTCCACTAGATGAGGTTGCTCAGAGCCCTGTCCAACCTGGCCTTGAACACTTCCAGGGATGGAGCATCCACAGGTTTCTCTGGGCAACCTGTGCCAGGGCCTCACCACCCTCATAGGGAAGAATTTTTTCCATACATCCAACCTAAATTTCCCTTCTGTCAGTTTGAATCCATTACTCTTCATCCTCTCACTACAATTCTGTGAAGTTATGT